GCTTTGGGCCGACCTCGACTGCTTTCCCAGACCACAAGTAGGGAACTGAATGGGAAGCAGGGTTGCTGGGGTACGAACTGACGTCCATATGGGATCCTGGTGTTCAAGGCGAGGACTTCAGCTGCTAGGCCATGCCACCGGGCCCTGTATTCTCTTTTAGACTTTAAATGTTTACATATGTGAGGGTTCTTCAAAGATCGCATAGAAAATTTATATTATGAAAAAAACAGCATATAGATTTCCAAATTTTTGTGCATCAAAATATCTTTTAAAACCTACCCATTTTCCACAAGCTTTCTTTTTTTAAGGATTTATTTGTTTTTATTGGAAAGGTAGATTTACAGAGAGGCAGACAGAAAGGTCTTCCGTGCACTGGCTCGCTGGCTGTCTTGCCAGGCCCACCTGAGCTCTGTGAAGTGCCCTCATAGATTAGTAGTTGGAATCACCGTGAAAAAATTAGTTTTCAGTCATTCTTAAACTATGTAAAAACTAAGCTAAGCTAATGCTGCAACGAGTGGGGTTTAAACTTTGTACGGGTTATTGGTATTTTGGCATCTATAATAGTACTATTTCTTCCCAATTTTCTTCCTCCATAATTTTGTTGTTTTCCTCCAGATTTTTCGGCAGATATTTTCTTCTGCCTTTTTAAGTGTTGTTGGGTCCCCGAGAATGCCATCCCCTTCTGGTCACATTCCTCATCACACTAAGAGCATATAGATGACTGTGTGGTACCTTTCTCTGCAGGCAGCGGTGAGGCTCTCAGACCTAGTGCTTCCACTCAAAGCATCTGCTTATGTTCGTATCTATCTGATCGCTCCTGGTTAAATCGCAGAGCACTGCCAGATATCTGCTGAGTGTTTATTGGGAAATGTCTCATCCACATTCAAGGCATTTGTCATTTATTATATGGAAATGTAAATAATCTTTTAAGTGCTCTTTGTTATTTGAGGTTTTTTAAATAGGATTTATTTATTTTAATTGAAAAGGCAGATCAGATTTACAGAGAAAAGACACAGATCTTCCATCCGCTCATTCACTCCCCAAGTGGCTGCAATGGCCACAGCTGAGCTGATTTGAAGGCAGGTCTCCCACACAGGTGCAGGGTTCCCAGGCCTTGGGCCTTGCTCTGCTTTCCCAAGTCGTAAGTGGGAAGCTGGAAGGGAAGTGGAGCAGCTGCCGCACAAATCAGCACTCAAATGGGATCCCAGTGCTTTCAAGATGAGTATTTAGCCATCAAGTCATCAAGCCAGGGCCCGTAAAGGCAGATTTACCGAGAAGGAGAGATAGTAAAAGACCTTGCATCCACTGGTTCATTCCCCAGATGGCTACAATGGCTGGAGCTGAGTCGATCTGAAGCCAGGAGCCTCTTCAGGGTCTACCTGGGAGGGAGTATAGGTCCCATGGCTTGATCTATCCTCTACTGTTTTCCTAGGCCATATGCTGGGAGCTGGATGGGAAATGGAGCATTGGGGACACAAACCCCCCACCCACATAGGATGCTGGTGCTTGCGAAGTGGAAGATTAGCATATTGAACCACTGCAACAGCTGTGTTGCATGAGTTTTCAGATGTGGTCAACTGCACCTACTGTTTTGTTGTTTTTTAAACCTGGAATATGTATGTATGTGTATATATATATATATATATATATACACATATATATATACATCTCCAACAAGCTTATAGTTGCTCTACTAAATAGTTGTTGCTGATCTAGATTTTATTATGTGCCCCCTAAAAATATTCTGTAGAAACTATTAATGCTTATCACATTTAACTAATCTGCACTAAACTATAAACTCATAAACATTGTCTCCCAGCATTTGACAGATGTTAAAATAACATTGAAATCTTTCTGGAACGTAGCATGATAAAACTTGATATCAAGGAAAAAAAGGTAGAAAATATTTTTGTATAATTAGAAACATCAGATGTAGAAACCAGATCACAGGATTCCTTATGGATTCCATGATCTTTAGCTTATGGCTACTATAATATGCTAATTCACATATATAGTATAACACGGCATCTTAAAATGTGATGTCTGATTGCCATCACTTGCAGCGTAGGAAAGAATGTGAGGGGCAGATGTTTAACATCCCAGTTCAGATGCTGGAGAGGATACCTGCATCCTCTGTTCGATGCTCCATTTCAGCACCTGCTTTCAGCTTGCTAATGGGAGTTAGCTGGGGAGCTGATTAGGTTCCTGCCACCACGTAGGAGACTTGAATTGAGTGTCTGGTTCCAGTTGTGGCCCAACCCCAGCCATGCCCACATGATTGTGAACCAGTGGATGGGAGTTCTGTGTCTTGGCTCTCAAAATTGAAGTATACATAAGTATAGGTATTATATACTATACAGGATAACGTATGCATGTTATACTATAGATTCCAGGGAAACATTGGCCTGAGTGTATTCTGTAGTTTTTTCAAGGATGCCCTATTCAAGAATACGGATTTCAGTTCAAAGTCATACGTTATGAATGTCAGTACAAATGTAGTAGTGAAGTTCTTTTTTCAAAAATGGTAAGGAGACATTCCTTAGCATCAGATCACACAAAAAAAATTCCTCACTTCCTGTTTATTAATTGTGTTCATTCAAGGACTTCAGGGCTATGTGTGGACTGATCGGTCAGTATAGTGACGTACCTGTGACTTTGGCGACTTTGGCGTAAGAGTTCACCTGCAGCTTGCACTTGCTGACACCTGCTTAAAGGCCTGCTCATTGTTTGCATCCTCTCTGACTTGGCATGTTAACCCTGCAGGCCTTGCTTGTCTTTTCTTACATCAGAATAGCTTTGCCTTTCTTTTTTCACTTCATTCCTTTATGTTAATTTCTGATTGCATGGAGAATAAGGTAGTTTTTCCTAACCAAGTAGTCAGTAGATCTGTAGTTGTACAAGTAAGCCTTACTCAATTTTTGAATGGTTCCTCTCTAAATCCATGATTCTACTATAAAAATTACTTTTTTTATTCACAAAGTCATCCAGAGCTCTTGAAGTGCACTTTATTCCCTGTGAATTCTTCTGTGATCCTGCTAGCACCATGATCAACATATGGACTTGCCGAATTTGGGGAGCAGTGACCTGAGTAATACTCCATGGAGCACTAGCTCTATTCTTTTCTTCAAACTTAATGCGATTTTTCTGTTTACTTGGATGCCTATTTAAGAAATTGCTACGTATTTCTTTTCTCTGAGAATAATAAGATTGAAGCAACAAGAAGAAATAAAAAAGGCTTGCAGGCTTTTTACCTAAGCTGTATCAGAATATTTTTTTTTAAAGATTTATTTTTATTATTATTTTTTTTTTTATTGGAAAGGCGGATATACAGAGAGGAGAGACAGAGAGGAAGATCTTCCATCCGATGATTCACTCCCCAAGTGAGCGCAACGGCCGATACTATGCCGATCTGAAGCCAGGAGCCTCTTCCAGGTCTCCCACGCGGGTGCAGGGTCCCAAAGCTTTGGGCTGTCCTTGACTGCTTTCCCGGGCCACAAGCAGGGAGCTGGAAGGGAAGCGGGGCTGCCGGGATTAGAACCGGTGCCCATATGGGATCCCGGGCGTGCAAGGCGAGGACTTAACCACTTGCGCCACCGCGCTGGGCCCCACAGAATTTTTTTTTTTTTAAGATTTATTTATTTATTGGAAAGTCAGATATACAAAGACGAGGAGAGACAGAGAAGAAGATCTTCCGTCCAATGATTCACTCCCCAAGTGAGCGCAACAGCCGATGCTATGCCGGTCCGAAGCCAGGAGCCAGGAACTCCTTCTGGGTTTCCCATGCGGGTGCAGGGTCCCAAAGCTTTGGGCCGTCTTTGACTGCTTTCCCAGGTCACAAGCAGGGAGCTGGATGGGAAATGGAGCTGCTGGGATTAGAACTGGGGCCCATATGTGATCCCGTTGGCGTTCATGGCGAGGACTTTAGCCACTAGGCCACGGCGCCGGGCCCTGAGAGAATTAAAAAATCAAAAGATTTCCTCATGTTTTACCATGTTCCAGTGATAGCCTTCTAATTCCTGATGGTGTACACACCTGATGAATTTTAGATCTTTGCCTGGCATGGCAAACCCAACATAACAGCAGTTGGTGCTGAACTTGTTGAATATATATCACATCCTCTAAATTGTAATCCTTTTTTTTAATGGTATGCTTAATACCAACCACATATAAAGTGTAATAATAAACCCTTGAAACAGTTTCTGTTCATTAAGGGACGACTTCACTTGATGCCTTCCCTTCAGTCAAAATCAGAAACAAGCAACCACTTCCTTAAGAAAGCCTCATTGTGCTGTCTTAATAATTCCTTCAAGTTTAGCCAGGTTTTTGTTTTGTTTTGTTCTATTTGTTTGCTGGGGGATTAGAGGGCAGGCAGAGTTACAAAGAGAAAATCTTCCATCTGCTGGTTTATTCCCCCAAATGGCCACCCAGTTAGGGCTGAACTGGGTAAAAGCCAGACTTCAGTTTCTTCCATGTCTGTCACGTGGGTGCAGGAACCCAAGCAGTTGAGCCATCTTCTGCTTCCCTAGGTGCATTAGCAGGTAGTGAAACAGCCAGGTCCCTATGGGGTTGCAGGTGGAGTCTTATCTTGATATCCACAACACCAGCCGCATGGCCTGGTTTTGAAAGTCTCTTGACAGTTTTTGAAAAATTATTCCTCCTAGACTTTGGAGACAGTTTTTTTTTTTTTTAAATCAGCAAAGAAAACAAAACCCAGATTAGTCGTGTATTCCTTTTTTTTTTTTTTTTTAAGATTTATTTATTTTTATGGAAAGGTTAACAGAGAGAAAAACCTTATATCTGCTGGTTCACTCCCCAAGTGACCAAACAGCTGAAGTGAGCTGATCTGAAGTCAGGAGCCAGGAGCCTCCTCCAGGTCTCCCTTGTAGGTGCAGGATGCCAAAAGTTTGAGCCATCCTCTATTGCTTTCCCAGGAAACAAGCAGGGAGCTGGATGGGAAATGAACTCTAGGACACAAACTGACACTCATAGACTCCAGTGTGTGCAAGGCAAGGGTTTAGCCACTGAGCCATTGTGCCAGATCCTTCTCATGTATCCCTAATGGCCAACCCAGTACAGTTTCACTTAAACAAATATGCTGTACATGAAAATATGATTTTTTTTTCTATAAGGCTTTTTTTAAACATCTCTGTGCCTTCAGGAAATGGACAAAAGTGATTAGCTCTATGATGAGCAAAAGTTATTTGCTGTTAAGTGGTACTAGGTTTTTGGTAGACTTAGGGGATAGTCTCATTTTCGCTCTGGTGATAGAAATGGGATTCAGAGCAGTTGTTCAGGAATGGCTGAAACAGATCATATGGAGAGAAAGGGGGCAAATGTAGGGCCGTGGGATGCAAGTAGCATTCCTAAAAAGTAGTGTCTTCTCAAGAGCATCTTGTCTAACTCTTTGAGTGCTCGTGTTTTCCCATGATTTGGCCAAGCTTGTCTTCTCACTGTTGAGGTGAGGTGATCTTTTCCCACAATCTGAGCTCTGTTATGTTATGGCAACCCTCAAAATCTAGATTTCCAGGCCAGAGATTTTCTGGATTCCATCTACTATTTCTAGCAACCACCTTTGTATATTTCTTCACCAGAGCTACATTCCAGATGTCTCAATTTTTTAAAATCCCAAGTGAAACTTAATTTTCTTATCTTTTTTCCACCATTCACTCTGAAACGCAACCTGATGCTCTAAAGCTGCAGCCATATTCCTATGGCACACTAACCACCTTCCAGCCACTGCTTGTTTCAAGCTAAAAATTCCGTCTTTGAAACTTGATTTATCATAGACTTGATCCTTTTCCTTTATCATCTCTCTGATGTTGGTGATTCCAATGGTTTATTTGTGAAAATTATTTCATTTTACCTTCATACACTCTACTTTCATGTTTATAGTTTACTTTTATCCTTACTTCTTCCTCTTGCTTGTTTGGGTAACTTCCCTGACCTATTTGGAATGTTAATGTCTGTCGCTCCTTGTCACCATCTCCCTTCCTTCTTCAAAATGCAGAGGTGGCAGGGGACAGCAGCAATATTGGATGATTGCTCTAACTTCTATAAAAGTATGAAAACAGAAAGTAGTTTTCTTCAGGACACAGCCAGTGGAGGGGAGGCCAGCCTACAGTATGTTTTGACTAATTCTGTGTCTAGTGATCTTCCCACTGGTGGGTGCTGCCTAGCTTGATGTTCTCTCAACCAGTATGCATTGTGTGGATCGTCATGTAGGAAGGAGACCATCCAGAAAGATAAAATGCTACTGAAAAATTTTGTATGGGAAATAAAAGGTGAAGTTTTAAGAATGTATGATGTATGAATTAGGTGCTAGGCAGTGACAGCGTAAATTCGATCCCAGGTTTAACATGAATGGCTAGATTGAGCAGTATTCCAACAATAATTTGAGTATACATAAAATGAGAGTGTTACATATGTCCATTATATAGCAGGGGTTGCTGTGGAAAAAGTCAATTTTGCACATAAGTGCGGGAATACCTTTAGAGGTTACACTACTATCATTTTATAGCTTGAGAAAGAGACTTCAGAGTCAACTGACATATTTAGGACTCAACTGTACAATTTTTGAGTCCTAGCTTAAATTCTTGAAAAGATGGCTGCCAACCTTGAGGTTGATTTTTGTGCAACACGAAGTTTTGTCTGATGGGAAAAATAGATAGGATTAACAGCAGATGTGGTCAATATCTTAATGTTTTAAATAACAGAAAATGTTTGAATTGTAGAATTTCCCCAGAATGAGAAAAGATTATGAAAACATGAGCACAGAGCAGAAGTAAATCATGGAGAGTTTCCAGGACTTGAGAATATCTAGTTTCAAATTTGAATGTAAAGGAGATTATTAAAAATAAATTTGGGGTAGTTGGGGGGTTATTTTTAGGTCACTGCTAGGGAAATCTAAATTTTAGAATCATTAGATGACTTGAACTATGTTGATAATGTTGATTTTTTTTTATAAAGATATATTTTTATTATTTTTTCATTGGAAAGGCGGATATACAGAGAGGAGAGACAGAGAGGAAGATCTTCCGTCCGATGATTCACTCCCCAAGTGAGCGCAACGGCCGATACTATGCCGATCTGAAGCCAGGAGCCTCTTCCGGGTCTCCCACGCGGGCGCAGGTTCCCAAAGCTTTGGGCCGTCCTCCACTGCTTTCCCAGGCCACAGGCAGGGAGCTGGAAGGGAAGCGGGGCTGCGGGGATTAGAACCGGCGCCCACATGGGATCCCGGGCATGCAAGGCGAGGACCTTTAACCACTTGCGCCACTGCGCTGGGCCCGATAATGTTGATTTTATAATGTCTTTCATGGTTGGGTGAAAATTTAGTCAATACTTGTTGGTTTCTGAAATGAGTTGCAAATCCCAACAGTTTTACACTGTTTTTCTTAAAGATCTATTTTTATTTTATTTTAAACACAAATTTTACAGAAAGAGGAGAGGTGGAGAGGTCCTCCATCTGCTGGTTCACTTCTTGAAATGGCTACAACTGCCAGAACCGGGATGATCCAAAGCCAAGAGCCAGGTGTTTTCCACATTTTAGGCATGTGTGCAGGGGCCCAAGGACTTGGCTGTCCTCTGCTGCGTTCCCGGGCCATGAGCAGGGGGCTGGATGGGAAGTGGAGCAGCCAGGACATAGGCTGGGTGATCTGTGGGATGCCCGTGCGTGGAGGCAGAGCATTAGTGTGTGCTGTGCCGCTGCACTAGCCCTTTCGCATTTTTCCAGTTTTGTTCATTTTCATAAAACTGCACTACAAAAATTTTCCACATATCTTAAGCAGTAAAATTACTATTATTTCCTTTAAGTTGAGGATAACCTTCTAAAAGAGAATTGATTTATACTGTAAAATATTTGTTGAATGTATTCCTCTTCTCCCCTCCCCCACCTAGGCTTTTTCTTAGTCTATCCTGTTCTAACCCAGCTGAAGTATTTGAAGTTTTTCACCGAGTTGTTCATTCATATTAACAAATTTTGTTGGATTTACCTCTCTTCCTTTTTAGGTTTATTTATATATTTGAAGATAAACTGACAATGAAAAATATCTGCTGGTTCACTCCCCAAGTGGCAACCAACACTATTAGGGATGGACTGGCCTGAAGCCAGGAATCTGGCAAGTGGCAAGATATCTTCCACTGAGCTGGATAACAACTGGAATAGCTGGGATTTGAGCCAGCACTCTGTGAAATGCCAGTGTTGGCAGGCAGCATCTTAACCCACTGTGCCACAGCCTTCGGCCCTTATCTCTTTTTACGTTTGAATTGTCCTCCTTCTAAGTAAGATAGTCCCTTAAAATCAGTATTGAAAAATATTGATCTTTTACTTACTTAATACACACTTTAATCACAAAACTGATGCCTTTGAAATGCATTAAGTCTATGCCAGCAGACTAAAGTTTTGACATATCTGGAATGATTCCATGAAACTACATTGCACTCCATTGCTACATTTCTACATTGTAAGGTGTGATAGAAATCAGTTGGTGAAACTTGAGATCCCGTGCTGCCGGCATGGCTGTGCCTAGGGGCTGTCAGAGCTGTACCTTCTTGCCAGGCTGCAGGAAGTAACCGCAAGCAGCTGGTGCTTAACGTGTCTAATTTTCAATTGGGTTTAAACGTTTGTTATGTATCCTTCATTCCTCAGTAACACATTAATATTTAATTTCCCTAGTTACTGCTGTCTGAACAGCCCAGTGAGATGTCTTTGAATAAAGCCTGCCCTGACGTGGGCTTTCCGACACCTGGGAAGATGCTCCCTCCTACTGCCCTGTGCTGATGTACTTTATTTCAAAATGACTCGTAGGAAAAAAAATAACCTCTTTATCCTGTCACATCTTGCCTAATACTAGTCTGACAAGAAACCACTAACTAGTGCACAAATTCTCTTAATTAGGTACAGTTCCAGGTTCTTATAACATTTAAGTATTTAATTTGAAGTAACAGGATATTAATTAAACTTCATACTAATATTCATACTAATTTCATACTAATATTCATAAAATTTCATACTAATATTTCATAATAATATTTTCATTATTTGAAAATATTAGGTTATAATACTGCAGTTTCTATGCAGATTTTTTTTTGTATTAGTATTCAGTTTTTCCAGACTGAATTCTTTTAGCTTCCATTTTGAATATTTCAATGGAAAGGATTTTTGTCCAACTCATTTTTAAGATTATTTCAAAATGTATCTGTGGGATTAACTTAATTTATTTTCCCCCTGTTGATGTGATCAGCTAGTTGTTGAGAAGTGGCTCACTGCCAAGGACAAGGCAAAGACAGAGTTCTCCAGTCCTCTGGTCCACTCGCCACACAGCCACAGCAGCCTCAGATGGGCCAGGCTAAAGCCAAGAGCTGCTTCCAGACCACCCCTGTGGTTGCGGGAGATCAGCTGGTTGCACTGTTCCCCCCTGCTTTCCCAGGCACAGTGGCAGGCAGCTGGAGCAGAAATGGAGCATCTAGGACCAAACTGGCACCATTGGGGAATGCCAGGATTGCAGGTGACAACTTTACCCCCGCACCACACACCAGCCCCATTTTTGTCTGATTTTTTTGTGTATATACATTTATTTATTTTTATTGGAAAAGCAGATTTACAGAGAAATGGCCACAGCAACTGGAGCTGAGCCAGTCCAAAGCCAGCAGCCAGGAGATTCTTTTGGATCTCCCCTATGTGTGCAGAGTCCCAAGGCTTGGGGCCATCCTCTACTGCTCCTAGGCCACAAGCAAGGAGCTGGATGGGAAGTGGAACAGGCAGGACACCCATATAGGATCCTGGCATGTGCAAGACAAGGATTTAGCCACCAAGCCATCACCTTTTCTTTCAGTGACTTAAGAAAGAACTGTGTCAGAATCTTTTTTTTTTTTTTTTTTAACTATATTTGCTTTGAAATGCGTTCAGATTGCTCTGAGAGGCAAGCGGGCAGTGATTTCCCATCCACTGGTTGTTCCGCAGATACCCGTAGCGGTGGGTAGGAGGCCAAGGCCAGGAACTGTCAAGGTCTTCCATACACTGCCTCCTAAGGTCCACATTAGCTAAGACTTGAAACTTAGCTTCAAAGCAAGCACTCTGTGAGATGAGAACATCCCAAGCAGGTTAACCACTAGACCAAAATCCTGGAATCCCACAATAGCCTATGGTGTCATGTGTATTTACCAGAAATTCTTACTTTTTGCTTACCAGATTTACTTAGAATAAGCATAAATAGCAATATTGGATGTTATCTAACCCATTATTGATTGGTTAGAATTTGTCCTGGACAGGATAACTGCTTCATGAGTCATTTTCATTTTGAAACGTGATTCTTGGTATTCTCCAATATGCAATGAAAATTCTCTCACTTCCAGCTCTTGCGCCGGTTTGTGCTGTGTTAGAGACTGTTTTCCCGTGCACAGTTAATGCACCCTACGAACATGCACTCCCCAGTAAGCGGTAACCTCTGTCCTTCCGTCGCTTGCCTTTGAGAGCTTCAGGATCATCTGTTTGCATCTCTATATAGAAAGGCTTCATGCTTTATGTAGGTGCCATCTCAAGTGCGTGCTTGTACTATAACTTACTTATTTAAGTAGATCCTTCTGAGAAGCCTTGCTGTATAAGCGGTGCTGTATAATAAGTAACCTTATAAATACATTATTTCCTATGAATGCAAAATGTAGGGCAAGTTTCCAGATTTAATACTGCTGGGTCAGAGTGAGTAAATGTGGAGGTGACAAGGAGAAAAAGAGGAAATATTGGAAAAGTATATTCCATTTAATTTTTTTTAAAGATTTACTTATTTTTATTGCAAAGTCAAATATACAGAGAGAAGGAGAGACAGAGAGAAAGATCTTCCATTTGATGATTTATTCCCCAAGTGACCACAATGGCCAGTGCTGAGCTGATTCGAAGCCAGGAGCCAGGAGCTTCCTCCACACAGATATCCCACACAGGTACAGTATCCCACACCAGTGCAGCGCCCCAAGGCTTTGAGCCGTACTCAACTGCTTTCCCAGGCCACAAGCAGGGAGCTGGATGGGAAGGGGGTGCTGCCAGGATTAGAACTAGTGTCCATATGGGATCCCGGCATGTTGCAGGCGAGGACTTTAGCTACTAGGCCATCGCACTGGTCCCAAGTATATTCCACTTAGTTTTAATCTTTTTATTATGAATGAAATGTTGGATTTTTTTAATCTGAATTTTCAGTGGCATTTTGCTAATTTTTTTTGTTGTGCTTTTGAACTTTTAAGTTTCTAGAAGTACTTTATATTTTAGGGAAATTATGGAAGATGTTTGATTTTTTTTTTTCCCCTACATTCTCTGGTATATAAATATATCTGCCCTTCCCACCCTGGAGTATTATAGAATTCATTCCTAATTGGACTTTTTTAAGGTCCTTAATATAAACGGTATGATTGACTTTCTGGACAAAGTGGTAGGAGAAGGACTTTTGACTTCATGGGTTTGGTTTTTGTTTGGGTTTTTTTTACTTCATATATTTTTACATATATGCTTTGGATTTAATTTTTCTAGCATATACATTTTTCCTTTAAAGTTTTTGAGGTGGCACTTTAGCCTAGCAGGTGGGCCCCCACGTGTGTTACAAGTATCCCACATGAGTGCCATTTTGAGGCCTGGTTGCTGTACTTCTGATCTAGCTCCCTATTGGTGGCGAAGGGAAGTAGTTGAGGATGACTCAAATTCTTGGGTCCTTACTCCCACATGGGAGACTTGGAAAAAGTTCCTGGTTCCTGGCTTCAGACCAGCCCAGCTCTGGCCATTGCGGCCCTGTGGGGAGTGAAGCAATGAATCTCTCCCTTCCTCTCTCTAACTCTGCCTTTTCAATAAAAATAAGTAAATCTTAAAAAGAAAGCTTTTAAAGTACAGACAATCCCTCTGCTTTTACCCAGTTCTCCCTGTTCCCGCCAGTGCTAACATTTAGTGTTACTGCAGTAACATGTAGTGTAGTTTCAAATCCAGGAAACTGACATTGGCAGGCTCCAATATATATATATCCTTTTTTCTTATTGCCAAATATATTTTTTCACCACCATGAATTTGACTTTAAACTAACTGGATAAGTATACAGTATGTTAGGAAATTCCATGAATTCACCACTTTTTAAGAGGTGCTAACAGTAGTTATCAGTCATTTTATGAATAAATAGTGTTTAATCATTCCTTGGTATAAGATTTATTTACTCTAGTAAGATTGACTACTTTAGAAAATAATACTAAGTTTTCTAAGTAGCCTTTTAATATGCTTTCCCCAAGATTAGTAATAGCTTTAAAATTACTTATTTTATGACTAATATAATTTGCAGATTGGCATTATTATGAGTTTTCTAAGTTAAGCAATATTTGTTTTACGTTGGTAGAGTCAGCTGTTAGGATGAAACAGCACTTCAAAAAGTTCATGGAAAAATGAAATTGAAAGATGTTTATTTTGCTGGAGAAAATTAAAGATCAGTTTGCAAGGATTTCATATTTTTGGAACCAAAATGAACTTATTTTTAAAATAATCTTGAAGTTGATTTGAAAGACAGATCTCTCATCTGCTCTTTGTCCAACTCCTTCACCCAGTCCACAGTCAGAGGTCAGGAGCACAGCCCTGGTCTTGCGTGGGGGTGGCAGGGACCCAGAGACCTGAGCGCTGAGCACTCGCCTGCTGCCTCCTAGGCTGTGCCATGTGCCTGACCGGAAGCTGGGAGTGATACCAGGGGCAGCCCAAACAACTTCATCCCCGCTTGCCCAGCCCAGCCATGGTTTTTAACTTTAATCTGATTTTTTATGAACTTGTTTATGTACTCTCACATAAAATATTGAATTCTTATTTTATTTTACCATTATCTTGTCTGATATTCTTAATCATCGAGATGTACATTTGACCAGAGTGTATTTTACTTAGACTTTTTTAGAAGGGATTTTAGGTGCTCTTAAATTAATCTTTAAGCTGCAAGTATAGACCCCTCTTACAAAAGAGTAGTAGATATTGAGTATGTTTGACTTTCACAGGCTTATATCTAATTTGCTCTTTGTGTTTCTTAGAGAACAGATGAAATATTATGCAGGTCAGAATTGAGGCATTTTGGTAACAATGATGTTACTGCGGGGTTGGCCAGCAGGAAGAGTTACAGCTCCTTTTTACTTTTGAATTGAAAGAATCAATTGGGTTTGTTTGTTTGTTTGAGAAAGGGAGCTTGAGAATGAAACATCAGATTACCAGCTCAGAGGAGTTCCTATTATAAAAAGATGTAAATAGTTTAGACTGTTTCCTTGATAAGTTTCTAATTGCAGTTGTGACTCAACACCAAGGTCTAAAAGACCTTTTATTATAGCAAGCCAAGGATATATTATTTTACTTACAAATCCATAGAATTTTAAAACAACCTTAGCTTTCTGACAAACCAAAAGAACAAATTTGAGCTTAGTGAATAGGTGAACTTTTCTGGCTGTCCAAAGATCACTGAGCAAGTGCCTTTTCCAAGAAGTTCCCTCCCTTATTCTCAGAGTTGAACCTCTTCCAGGAAAGTGCTAGATAAGATAAATGTTGTGTTACGAACATGGTTTCATCTTTGGTCCATGCTTATGCTTTACAACTAACATTTGGTGCTTAGTTAAAGCACTCTTCGTCAAATACACAACTCAGGATTTATTTTAGATTATTATAGCTCATTTCTTCTGCAGTCTTACAGTTATGGAAGGAAAAACCTGCATTTGACATTAGGCTAGGCTTGAATCTTGTCCCTAGCAATCTTTGAGCAAGTTACTTAGCCTTGATTTCTTCCTTGAGTATTATTTTCTTCTCCCTGATGCTTTGTTGATTAACACATCAAAAAGAAGGCAAAGAGCTTAAAATATATCCACTTAGAAAAAGAAAAAAGTGTACTATCTTAGCCAGATAGCCATAATGTTTCTGTCTGCGTTACAACAGGTAAAGAATTATCTTAAAACAAGTTTAGTTTTTGGTTTTGTCTAATTTTTAATGTGAGATCAAATTAGATTACCCCTTGCCTTCACTGACATTATTTTTTGAACTCGGGAATTTTTTGTTTTGTTTTGTTAAGATTTATATATCTTTATTTGAAAGATATGCAGACAGACTGATCTTCCATGCTCTGGTTTGCTCCACAAAGGTTGCCAGGAGCCAACAGCTTCTTCCTGGTCTCTACACAGGTGCAGGGGTGCAAGGACTTGGGCCATCCTCCCAAGCCATAAGTAGGACTCTGATTAGAAATGGAACAGCCAGGACACAAACTGGCACCCAAATGGGATGCCACCACTTGCAGGTAGAGGATTAGCTTGTTGAGCCAGTGCCCCACCCCAAGCTCAGACATTCTTCCCTGGCCTCTGGTCTTTGCACTAAAGTCGCAATGATCACTTCATGATTAGAAATGTACCTTGGAGGAAAAGCTATGACAGGAGCCTGTTGGAAAGAGTGAAATCTGAGCAGCGTAGCAAGCAGGCTGTTTCAGGTCTGGAAACTGGGGTTCCTTTTCACATGAATGTGATTGTAATTCACTTCAAACACTAAATTCAGGCTCATTTGGTTCTTCCTGGCAGTGGCTTCAGCAGATGAAAATGATAATATAAATGTTACATAGCCATTACCTTTTTTCAGAGGTTTATATTTTTGTCCATTCCCTTCATATTCCCAACTTTTGATCCTTCTGTAAATTCTAATCACAGTTTGATTTTGTTCTTAAAAGAGTGCTTCAGTTTACCATAGAAAAGTCTGAGCACTCCATCTTCCTCGGCTTCTGTGACAATCAGAACATTGGATTAAAGACTGCCTGTTTCAGCTTGCATATATGCAGGCATGTGTAGGTATGAGACGGTCTTAATTTGAGTTATCTGATTTTTTATTATATAATTATTATGAGGAGCTTCATAATATATTAAGAGTACAGAAAAAGAAAGCCTTACTTTAGGAACTTCAGAAATTGATTAACCACCAGAATGTTACCTGGTGAATGTAATAATAGAAAGACAAGCAAAGTAAAGACAAGCTGTTTAACAGCACAATAAAAAACCTTGCCACCCTCAGTGAAACACTATTAGACCACGTTCTGGGGTCTTGACGTAGAGTGCCCTCTTACTTGCTTACGACTGCCCTGTTGGCATCGTAACTGTCAAACTGACAATTTAAAGCACCGATTCCCAGGCCTTAGATTCTATCAAAAATCACCTGAAGATCTTATTAAAGTAGATGATCTGGATCCACCCCAACTGTGGGTCCACATGGTTCCCTTTTTTTTATTTGAAAGGTATAATGACATGGGCAGGCCTTGCATCCACTGGTTCTCTCCCAAATGGCCACTAAGGCCAGAACTGAGCCAGGACCAAACCAGGAGCCTACATAGTCCCCCAGGGTGCAGGGGCCTCACACCTGGGCCAGTGTGTTTCCACACACACACGAGCAGGAAGGTAGAAGGGAAGATTACGTGGGAGGTCACTTCAGTATAGAACGTTGGTGTTGCAAAGGGCAATTCAGCCTGCTTCGTCACGCCCAGACCCCAAAATATTTCCATTTCTAACAAGTACACAGGTGATGCTGATGCTTGTGATCCACAGACCATAATTTTACAACAACCAGATTATCTAAATTTGAAGTATGTGAATGGCTCTCTCATCTAGCCATAGATTGTTGCAGATCTATCTGGACTGGAGCCCGTCAGGCGCTTTGTTCTTCTCACAAAGTGGAGCAGGTGTAAAGCCTCCCTGAAGAGTCTAGTCTTGAACAGAATCATTAGGACTAGCATAAAATAGTACATTACTATCAGGTGTTGAGGGCTCAGCGTACCAAAGACCACAATATTGTTTCTCATTTAATCCTTATAGTTTTATGAATAAGGACATATAATCCTTATTTTAGATGGGAAAGAGCTGTGCAGAAGGTTACATGTTTTTCCAGAATCTGTACGATGTATATATGAAACAGCCCTCCTGCACTGTAAAAGTTTGTGAGTGTTGGTGGGCCATAGGTGGGTGCAGTGACTGGCCCTGCCTTAGGAAATCAGAAGAGAACACTGGAGCATAAAAATGAGAGATGGCCAGCTAACTTGGAGCTGTATTTCCAAGCTGAGCTGTATTTCCAACCTGGCAGAATGTATGTTCCAGGCATTGCAGAGTGACACAAGGTTTTCACACAGCAAACCACCAGCAGACTAAGAGGAGAAGAGACCTGTATGACAGAGGTCGAGTCATGAAGATTTTGTATACTCAAGAGATTTTAAAAATAGAATTGTTTTTATATTCATTCTCCTGTAACATTGATTTCTATAAGCCAGTGGTTCTCAAACTGTGATCAGACTGCAAAATCAGCATTATCTGGGAACTTGCTTAGAAATACAGGTTTGTGACCTCTTCCCCAGCCCTCCTGAATCAGAAACTTACCCGGTAATGTGCTTCAACAAGATCTCTAGGTGACTAGTGTGTGCTAAAGTTTGATCCCACTATGATAGATTGGTGTATTCTTGAAGAATAGCTTCTGTTTAGTCAAAAGTCACTGTAGTAAAGCCAGTGGATGTGTAACTGATTCCGTTCGTGCACAGCAGTCAGCAGAGGTGAATACTACTTTAACAGATGCACATCTCCAGTGTGATTCGTTTATACCTTGTGAGCCTGTTTGAATCAGAAAAACGGTTAGGTCAACATTAAATATCATTCCTTATCTGTAAGAATGATTTGGATAATTTGCTGATAATTTTAATTATCAGAAACATGAAGCAGTATTTTTTCAGTTGCTTGATGACATATGAAACTGTTGGTGAGTTAGCATTTAATTAGTTTAAAGATTTGTTAATTTTTATCAGAAAGGCAGATAGAGGGAGGAGGAATGCCAGATCTTCCATCTCCTGGTTCACAGTGGTCAGAGCCAGGAGCCTCCTCCAGGTCTCCCACATGGGTGCAGGTTCCCAAGGAACTGGGCCATCCTCTGCTGCCAAAAGCCACAAGAAGGGAATGGGGTGGGAAGTAGAGCAGCTGCTACATGAACTACATGTGGAATGTTGGCAGTTGCAGGTGGAGGATTAGCCTGGTGAACCACAATGCTGGGCCTGGAAGTAGTTCATTTATACCAGATGAGTTAAAGAATCATAAGTCTTGAAATAAAGTAAATCACTAACATGGAGGAAAAAAATACAATCTCAGATTCTGAAGTGGTTATCTAAACCAGTCACTTTTTTTTTTGCCAGGTTAGAGTTGGTATGTGCGGTAAATACATGGCATTTGGCAGTGCTACTCTATTTACATTAAAGCTTGTGGTTTATGTAGTTCTGTGGTTTTTAGTTCTGTGTAGTCATACTTTGTTTTACACAACTGTAGAAACATTTAAAGCCCAACATGTATAAAATACTTGTTAATGATATATGTCTTTTCAGTTATTAGATATACAGAATCCCTTCCTTAAAATTACAGCAAGTGGAGTAGGTGCTATACTTGAAGTAGACAGGCTTAGTGTTGCCAGCTGGGAGTGGGATGAGGGATAGATAAGCAGGCCACTCAGGTGGAGAAACCAGGGTCCAGGAAGGGTAAAGAGGTTTGCTGGAGGTCACAGGGGAGTGAATAGCAGAACCAGGATTACAACCAGATCTTCCCGGGTTATAATGTAAAAGCATCTCAACGTCACATTACAGTGTCACACCATCTGTGTAAAACATTCTATCTAACATCTTTCCAGACAAGATACTTTATGAAGAGATGTAATATTTTGAAAAAAAAATTTATTTTAACTTTTGTATTGATATAATAAAGTACCAGATATTTATTTGCAAACATTATTTTTTTAAATACTAACTCTAGTAACTTGTTCAAAATGTATAAAAATCCCAACAATAGAATGTAAATTTTTATTCCATGCATGACAAAATAGATACTTCTGAGGACAGTTCTGTATTCTGTGTCATCATATAAATGCTAAAATGATATGTGGACTTAACTACCTAGATTGCTTTCAGTAGTTTCACTAAAACACTTAACTTACAAGGTGTCTTTGGTTTTGACTTTTGGTTTTTGCAGCAAGTAAAACATACAAAGCATGTGGGTCTGCCAGAATGTTAAGCTTGTTAACCAATCCTGCCCAAAATCCTGCCCGTCTGATTTATTTGTAGAAGCCAGTTCTACTAATTGAAAAATTAAAAGCTAAAACATGAAATGTATAGAAGAAAAATCATCTATTTTAATCAATAAATAACCATGAAAGGCAGTTAGAACTGACTTAGTGACGTTTAGGAGATAAAGACAGAACTCTTTCAAAATGTGTTCTTTAAGACTACTTAAAATTGGAAACTCCAAGAAGAATTAAAAATGATTTTTAAAGTAGCATTCATGTGTGAAAAAAAATACATATATATGTACACACACAGACACAGATATAACCTAGGTGAATTAAAAACTGTTGAAACCACTGAGTTGTTTTTTTTTTTTTTAAGGTTTTTAACTGTGACCCTCACTTTTAAAATGAAAGCTCTGATGAATATTAAACTTGTGAGAAAAGACTTTAATAAGCTATTTTAAATCACTGTATTTAACTTTATGTAAAATCAGTTGTCTTTTACAGTCTTTTAAATTTGGAAGGATGTCTACATTTTTTAGAATAATTTACTGAAATATTCTCATTTTTTCCAGTGCGTCTGGGGGAGGTGTTGTAGCCATTGACAACAAAATAGAACAAGCAATGGTAAGTGGCGTTTAGTCCCTCGGGTCATAGGTTACTGGTTATGTGCAGCACTTGCTTTCTGTCAGTTCTGAAAAACAGACGTCTAACTTCTTGAAACCAAAGTTAACTAAATGATATATTTTGGTAGCGATTTAGTTGAAAAAGCAAGGACAATGAGAATTTTTAATTTAGAAAACCAGTTGAATGAATTTTTCTCCCATTTGAAACAAAAATATCAGTTCTTCACTGTGAAGAACTGCTCGAAGGAGGATGTTCCCAAGAGACTTACTACTCAGTGGGGTAGACACACTGTGAGTGAGGACGGCAGCGCGATAGCTCTGTCATCGTTGCATCATTTCAGGCGCTGTTTATTCAGCATTAAGAAGTATGGTAGTTCTTGGTTCTGATTTCTACCGTAAAAAAATCCTGCCTCCTGCTCTGGTCAGAAAGTGGATGTTTGTGCTTTGTTTTCCATAGGCCAAGGAAAGACACAGGAAGAATATTAAAAACAAGAGCAGGAAAATTAATATAAAACACAATTTTTAAGGCACCATGTAGGCTAAAAGCAAATAACTCCAACTTTTTTTTTTTTTTTTTGACATTCCTAATTTTTTGCCCACAGGATCTGGTGAAAAGCCATTTGATGTATGCAGTAAGAGAAGAAGTGGAAGTTCTAAAGGAACAAATAAAAGAATTAGTTGAAAGAAACTGTTTACTTGAACGAGAAAATGCACTGTTAAAAGCCCTGTCCAACAACGATCAGTTATCCCAACTCCCAGCCCCAGCGGCCAATGCTGGCAGCACTTCTCAGCAGCAGGCAGCCACAGCACAGCCTCCGCAGCAGCCTCCGCAGCAGCCGAACGTGTCCTCAGCATAAAGCTTCCTTACGCCTCGTCAAGACAAAAACTGAGAGCAATCTATCCTTGTGTGCCACTGGTGTTCTTTCCACTTTGTACGAACGCAGGTAGCCATGCTTCGGTTGTGTGTTTGGCCTTTTCAGTATTAGACAATCATCCTCCAGGAGCTTTTCCTCTCTGAGATGTCATGCACCGCTGTTGGTTTCCAGTTCTGTGTCATCAGTACACGAGGAAAATAATAGACGGGGTTTATTAAAGCGAGCAGTCTGCATTTTCCCTGGTGCGCATGAACGGGATCGTTGCGAATTCTGGTGGCTCTCCCACATTTCCTCTTTCCCATGCATTTGCCTGGAGCCTTCCTGTCACATTATAAATAACAGTTCATCCAGAGAGCCACTTTTCTTTCACTATCAGTAACATTGCCTACGTAAGTTTTCATTTATTTGTGTTTTATTTATTACAGGGCTGCTATTTTCATAATGTACATGAACAATGTCACAGAACTTTTTTTAATTTTTTTGATTCTAAGTATCAGTAAAGGGATTGAGAGACAGGATTACATTTAATAGATAAACCGTTTAGGCAATAATTGAACAAAAAGAATCCTGGCATATTTCTAACACTAATGGCAATTATCTTTGGTATTTATTTCCAGTAGTAAAGAGCCAGCTTGAATGTAAATTTTGTATAGTGTAAGTATGAAGAACTTAGTGCAACTGTACAGGTAGTCACCAGTTATTGTGATATAATAAATAATTGGGCTATTTTGATGAAGAAAACTTTGTTCATTTGTTTCTACTTTCTAATAGAGAAATTGCCACGATTCCTCTGCTTTTCGACATTTCGTATGACTTTTTTTTTCGGGTGGGAATAAAAAGCTGTGAAATTGTTCAACCTACTTTGTAACCAAAGAAGCAAAGCTGTGTAATGGAGTTTTGTTTTTGTTTTTGTTTTTTTTTTTTATAATGCACATTCTTTATGTATTTTTATTTAGTGTTTCCTTGGTCACAATTTCTTTGCTGTCTAGCATGATCTGCATGACCTATAATCTTTGAACCACTTTCGTACCTCATGTTTTTATCCAGCACTCTTATGTAAAGTGTACTAGTCTGTGAACAATGTCAAATCAAAAAGAATGGACAGGTAGTTTGCTGGAGCTGAGCTAGTGTGCAATACACTAGGTGTAAAAAACCATGAAGTGAGCCAGCCTTTGTTCATTTAAAATGGTGTTTCGATTTTCGTATGCAGAACACGTTTTGTTACATTGCAGATTTTAATGTATTTAATAAATGCAACATGCAGATTAAGTGCAGTGTATACTGAGTATTTAAATTAAAATGTACATTTCATAAATACAGTTTCAAGAAAAAGCATCATTTTGTGTATACTAACACATTAAGTGTATGTCAGAAATTGATGTATAAATATATATTTTAACACATTTTCTGAAATTAAACTGCAGTTTTGTTGAAATATTTGGCTCCACATGTGTTCACAATTTGACTAGGTTTGTATTTTCATAGTTCGAAGTATTACTTAAATGAAAACCTCTGTTATTAGTGACTTAATCATAGTTCTTGAATTTTCAAAGATAAAGATTGCAAGAATGGTGAGCAATATTTGTACTCAATATTCATATTATGTTAATGATATGAATAGGAAATCCTTGTCTACCAAAACTTTTACTTGAATTCAGAAAGGTGCCTGTAGAAACCCACACACGCTGTGTCTGTAGCCAGCTAGCTGACTCGATTAGTTAGCTCTCCGTGTCAAAGAGGGGCAAGCATTCTGTGTCTGTTCAAAATAAAAACCATGTTAGCCACAAACAAAAGGCCTAAAATCAGGGTGTACGTGGGATTGCCCAAATGTTTTATGTTCTTGTGCTGCAAGATGTGTAGTGAACAGATTTTTTTTTTAATGTTCATTATTTACATTAGAAATAATTAAGAGGAATAAGTGCACAGGATGTGGAGTGAGATGCTGAGTCCACCGTAGGCGAGATAAAGTAGGAGACTTTGCTGTTTAAATGGTCAGAGGTACCAGTGCGGCACACTTACAGAGAAACTAGAGCAGAAGGCAGCTGGAATTTTTGTGGAAATAAAAGATAAGCTTTGATTCTGAAGATGTGCAAACACTATATAAGTTGAGAATAATAGCAGTCAGCAAGGAATTGGTTTGATAGGCGAAGGATTGAAGTTGAGACTAAGCAATTGTTACTGTTTTTACATTTAAGAAAATGTAAAGGAAATACAGCATGGGTAGCTCACGTAAGAAATAATGGCAGTTCCTAAAGTTTCGGCTTGTACTTGGAACCTGATGTGAATTAACATTCTTGACAAATTGTTGTTAAACAGGGCAGTGTAGAAACACAAGCTTTCCTGTGTACTATGAGAAGTAACTTGGCAATATGTTTCAAGAGCCTTAAATATTAATAAAGTTCATTTCAGTGATGTAAGAAGATCCTCAACTCTCGTGCGGTATTCAGAAACACGAAGTTATTACAGTGTCTGCTCTCCCATACGTCCGTCCTTCCCTTAGAGCCTGCACGCCTGCCTCCCCCACACCCAGAAAATGCTGTGCTAGGAAGCCTTTGCATCCACATGGGCCCTCAGGAGACACACCCCACTCTCCAGCATGAAAACAAATTTAGAATGAGACAACTCTTAGGCTTTCCAGCATCTGGCTGATACGTTGTATATGGAAACCTCCAGCATGCATCCAACTGGTTGGTCTATGTGGTTTTCCCTTGTAGAACTAGGGGTCCCCTGCCCAGCAGAGGGGGATCACGGCCGAGGAACCAGGTTGAAAGTACATGAGAACGCCGCCTGCTTTCACATTGTTGGTGCAGTGACCATAGAGCACTGTTTGGTCAAGAATCTATCTGATTCAGGAATACCAATTATGATTCAGGCCTAACTTTTCCCCAAAGAAAAATCCATTTAAAATAATTCTAATGTAATCACAGTTTGACATGCATACAAAAGCAGGGAGTGGGAGGCAGTAAGTATTCGGTTATTTTAATATAACTAAGTTAAAACTGAATTTATCCAAGTTGATATCTATTACTCTAATTAGAAGTATTCAGTATGTGTTACAAGCAAGTCCCCAGTGATAGTGGGGACTGTCCCTACCATTATGAGAACTTTCACAAATCGGTGTGAAATACTTCAAGTTTCAACATTACTAATCAGCATATCTGTTATTAGTGGAAATAGTATTTGTTACTCAGAAATCAAATAGCTCGTTTGAAGATGATCTTAAAGTCAATATTTAGAAAAAAGTTTTATTGCATAATGGCTACAAATGGATTCTGTTCTCTTCGGGAATTCTGATAAAAGGACAAAGTCCAGGCTCATAAATTCAGTGTTGCCCAGGCTGTAGACAGGCCAACTGCTTCAACGCAGCAAGGAATATTGGCCGTTCTATGCCCTTCAGGGTGGATGGTTTTTGTCAGGGTAGGTTTTCTGAAGAAGGGTGACACCTGCGTCTTAGAAGGTCCAGTTAGCCCAGGATAAGAACTTGCCAAGCACAGGAGTGATTAAAGGACAGCACAAACAGACAAGGATCCTTGGGAGGCGGCACAACTCCCCATCAACCTTCCCGGCTTTGGCATCTGTTCCGAAACCAGTGAATTTAAGGAATGGGGTATGGTGCTTGATTCCAGTGCCAGATGGAAGTTAGATTAACAGAGCTGAAAAGAAGCTAAGAAATGATTGAGATACAGCAAATCATCCAAGCAAGATAACTAGAAAGGCAAAGTTAGGCAATTTTGTGAAGCTCAGGAAGGAAATTTGTGTGTCACTGTGCTCGCTCCCCCAACATTCCCTACATCAGGTGCCCTGTTTCCTTGCTCCCTCGTTGGGGGGGGGGGGGGGAATTCATACTTTAAAGTTTGAGACTGTATTTCTATGGAATGAAAGCCTTTGTTTCACGTTCAAGGAATTTCAAGAATTTAACAAGAGGGTAGGGGAAAAATAGAAGCACTTTGGTGGTCACTTTATGCCTCTCTAAATTTAACCCTAAAGGTAAACAAAATTGAATGCTTTTGTAGTGACTAGGATTAGCAGAGCTGCAAAGGCTGTGAGTAAGAGCTTTCCCTGCTCCCTGCAAGGAGAAGGGTTCTGGCCCCATGCAGATCGTGACAGCCTGAGTGAGGAAGGTTTTCTAGGCGTTTGCTTTTCACCCTTTGACAAAGGTTGATCTCAGCAGGCAGCTTCTGCATAAATTCCCTGTCTGCAGAACGGGGCCATCTTGTAACTGTCGCAAAGCACCGACTGATCCAGTTTTCTGTTTTCTAGCAATAATGAGTTTATTCCCTGCTAACACATGTTTCGCTTTATCTACCCTTTTAGACATTCCAGGATACATCCCTCTCTAATACTTTTCTATACCAGTTCATATCATTTCAATCCCAAGACCTCTTTTAATGCATGAATTTCCTTTGTAAATAGGAGAATTGCTATGCAAACGTTTTCATAGCTGTTGACCTAGTAAGGGTACAACTGATATGACCTGCCGTGTTCACAGACAAGAAGTGGTGAGTGGGGCGCTATACAAAGCAATTGTAAGTTCAGACATTCTTTTTGTTTTTTAACAGAATCATCCAAAAATAAAACCTTTTGAGATTAGTGATGGAGAAAGAGTTGCTATTTTGCATTGGTACAGTCCACTTGGTGACTGCATTTCTTTTATATATCTGGATGGTGAATTAACTTTTATAGAGTTAGGCAGTTTAGGGGAATTCCCCGACGCTCTGAAAACATGGGACCAGACTTCCTCGAGTTTACGGACCAACAGCTTGTCTTCAGGAACAAGCCTCCCTGTGAAGGAGGGAAAGAAAAGGTGTGCTAACTCAGACCCTGGGAATAACTGACTTTGAAAGCAAGGCAAGGCTGCCCTTTTGCTTGGCCCTCCGGGAAGCTCAGGCACCTTGTACACGCCCGTCTTCTGCACTCCTGCAGTGCTTCCACATAAAATGCCCTGGGCCACTGCAGTTTGGAAGGATCACAGGTCTCGCTGTCATTTCCAAATCAAGCAATGGTCTGTAGATGAGGTCACACCTGAGGCTTTCTCTGGACGGCCCGGGACCTGACATGGCCACATCGTTGGGCAAGAGATTATACCCAGTCAGTGTTGAATTCTACTTTTATTGTTTAATCACTATCGGGTGGCATACTTGCATGGACAAAAAACACTCCCGAGATGCAGTTCCGGTCTGTTTCACTGTAGCTGCTGCACCTCTTCTGAGTAAATGGGAATGGAAAGAGGAATGAAAAAGCTTAAGTGCCGTATGTTTACTCTAAACACATATCATAATGTGTAGACCTCATGTCATTGATAAAAGAGTCATATAAGTCAACGGAAATACTGCCATGTGAAAACCTTTTGCCAGGAAGCAAGTTAGAATCACCAAAACAGCTTTCCACCAAATAAAACTCTTAGAAAGAGGGGAGTTGGTAAAAGCCTCTGAGATGGCCCCTGTAGAGGAGGAACTACCTGAAAGAGGTGTTTACACATGCTTAATACTTTCAGTCTGTAGCTAATGGAGCTGATTTAGATCAAACTTCACCTAGAACAGGAGTTGTGTGTTGGGAATTAAATCACCAATCATCTCAGAAGCACCACTGTCAAGCTTGGCTGACAAAATCCGCTCCCATTCGGTGAATCAAGAGTAACTCAGGTGCCTGTAGCCAAAAACAAAGTCTCTTATAAGAGCTGAGGCTCCAGAAATAAACACAGATATACACTGAGTGAATGATGAAATGACATTTCAAGCCAGTAAGGAAATAATGAGTCTGTCATTTTTTGATGGGACATTGCTTTGAAAAAGTAAAAGCTGTAAAAACACATAAGCAAATAGTTTTATAAATATGTGATAACAAAATTTCCACCTTGGCAAAATCAGGAAATTACACACTAGAACACAGACTATCTCAGGTCCGATTGGTAAGCATTAAAAATACATGTAAATTAAGCTCTGGCAAGGATGTGGGAAAACAGAAATCCTAAAGGGTTTATGGTAAGTGTACAAATTGGTATGGCCGCTTTTCAAAGCAGCCTGATACTATCTATGGCAGTTCAAAATTAGCATACCCTCCGATGCAGTCATTTGAATTCTTAACACATTTACCCGAAAGAAACACTTAGGTTCACAAAGCAGACTGTTCAATGATGCCAACTGCACTTTTGCTGATAAAATACAAAAAAGCAAATGCCCATCAAAAGGGTGGACTACGGTATACATTACACAATCTATTTCCATACAAAATTTTTTGTATGGAAATTCACTTCAAAATGGAAAAGAATGGGAGACACCTCGATGTGCTGACATGGGAAGTTCTCCAGAATACAATGTTAAGTTTATTAAAAGTTTGCAGGAAAAAAGTTAAAGGACAAAACATAATACCATTGGTGTTCAATCACATGGTACACACATTCAAACGCACACGATGCTGTGTACTGCACTTCTTAAGTACATGTTCGTGTATTATATAAAGATAGAAGTTCTGGAAGGATACTAACCAAACAGTTCACAATAGTTTGGTGGCGTGCATTACCTTTAACTGTACTGTTTGATGTTTTTGAATATGCATTCATATGCTGTTTGTGTAATGACAAGTTAATAAATTAGAAATAAAATGAAACAGAAGGTGTTATCTTCTTGTCTTCCTCTGATGTCTCCTGTGGGGCCCCGGCTCTCAGCATCCTCGGCTCTCTCTACTCTCAGGAATTCTCTTTTTTATTTTTGGAATTCAGAGACAAAGAGAGCTCTCATCCACTGAATCATGCGGCAAATGCCCACAAAAGCTCAAACTGGCCTGAGACGGAATCTGGAGCTGGCGACTCAATCAGAGGCCAGCACTTGAGTGGCAGGAGACCACCCCTGCCTTTGGTAAACCACAGCGGCAGGAAGCTGCAATGCGGAGCCCAGCGTTGCCCCGTGGAGTAGAGAGATCTTAGCTGCTGGGCTGTCTGCATGCTAGGGAACGTGTCTGTTCCGCCACTTCTCCCCCTCTTCTTTGCCCTCCTCTCGGGCTTCACCTCAGTCATCACCCCCTTCTGCCTGGGATGCCTGTCCTCCCTGTGCCTGCCTGTCTGCCACCTCCTCGCCCCACTGCCTGCTGGGCTTGTTACAACTCAGCCTGATTTAGGCCCCACTGAGCCCTTGCCGCCAGGCTCCCAGTGGCCATCCTGCTGCTAATTCCAGCTCACACATTTCAGTTTTTACTTTCTTTGACCTGCTCATTTCTCTTTACTATCGTTTGATGAATCTAAGCGTTTTCGATTTTCTTTTCGATTACAGGAGTTTCCCATCTAAAAGGTATGTAACAATAGTAAAATGTGTGGCTCAATTTGTCTTGGAATAGATTCATTTCATCATTTTTCATTAATTCTTATTACTGATAGATTTCTGTGCATTTCTAGCTATTTATTTTGTTTTTTTCTCCTTAACATGTTTTCTAGGTTCTTTTCCGTCTTCTGACTGATTCAATGGACCATTTTATTATTCACTCTGCATTCCATGTCCATTGTTCCAGTGCTTACCTTACAGTCTGGTTCATCCTTTGTGGAAATTCTCAACTCTGCGAAAATTACAGAAGTTACCTAATGAGTTTCCATTTACCCATCACCCAGCTTAAACATAGGTACTCCTGACCAATCATGAATCATTTACCCTCCCTCCCGTTTTCCCACGAACCTCTGCATTTTTCCTCTTGAAATTCAAGGTAGATTTAATCCATATTTTTTCAGCATGTGTTTCTAAGGATTCTTAAGAAACATTAATATCCCCAACAGCATGATCCCATCTCAAAATCAGTAATACCACTTAAAATCCGGCCAGCAACTACATTTTACTACTAGTTGATTTTATATCATGTATTGATTTGACCCTGAATCAAAATAGTCCCTAGGAATGGTAACTGGTGGCCATGGTTCTGAATCTTTTCCTCTTGAAATTCTAAACCTCTGGATTGTGTGTCCAGCAGACTGAATTCACCTGCTTGCATTCCTATAGTCTTTTCTGTCATACTTCCTAAAAATTAGATCTAGATCCTAATCAGGGTCAGGTTCATATTTGTCAAAAGCAATTCATAAGTGATACATGCTATCGAGTGTCAGCTGGTAATTTCTATTTTCTGATGTTGGCAGAACTGGTCGCTGTTTCTGGACCCACTAACCCTTCTCCCTCATGGATGAAATTCTTCTCCGAAGATAAACTTACCTTTATTGGGTACCCATGATTCCTACAGGAAAGGCCAGGACTCAATTGTTTCGTCTTTTTTTTTTTAATCTTAAAAAATAAATGAGTCTCTAGAAAGGGATAAAAATAAATAAATATGGAGTGACTTAGGAAGACTTAGTCTGGCATTTTATTCTAGAAAGAGGGAAGAAAGAATACAGTATGGGCATTTGGGATGCAGTAATTGAGATGTTGGTAGGGAGAAGTCCTGTAATAATAACACAAGCTGTTGATGACAGGAAATGAAGACTTGAGCCTCGTCTGTTGAACTGCTGGACCTTGGCGTTACTTCTGGGACAGGAGACCCTTGGGGGGGTTGGGGGATGTATCTGGGCAGGGTAGGGCCTGGTTCACAAGAAGCAAAAAGGGGGCCCGGTGCGATGGCACAGTGGTTAAGGTCCTCGCCTTGCACACCTGGGATCCCATATGGACACCGGTTCTAATCCTGGCAGCTCCACTTCCCTTCCAGCTCCCTGCTTGTGGCCCGGGAAAGCAGTCGAGGACGGCCCAAGGCATGGGAGACCCGGAAGAGGCTCCTGGCTTCGGATTGGCATAGCATCGGCCATTGCGCTCACTTGGGGAGTGAATCATCGGATGGAAGATCTTCCTCTCTGTCTCTCCTCTCTGTATATCTGACTTTCCAATAAAAATTTAAAAAATAAATTAAAAAAAAAAAACAAGAAGGAAAAAGCAGATCAGGGTGTGTTGTGGGCTAAGGAGTTGACTAGCACTACAGGGAGTGGGCTTGGGGCTAGAAGCACCTGGTCTACTTGGACTCAGCTGTATCCAATATGCGCTAATGAGGGTGTGGGGGAAAGAGTAAACAAGAAGTAGGTGAAAGGTCAAGAGAGGAGGCACTAAAGGGAGGCCTCGGAGAGACTTCCACCATCACTGGTCTCCTATTGGTGCCTCATCCCTCAGACCCTGGCAGTGTCCACGTTACTGGCGCTGCTGGCCGGTACAAGGGTGCCCTGAGGAGCCAGGCAGCAAAGAATGACCCAGGCCAGCAGCGGAGTTTTGTGCACTCACTTCCTGCCACCTGAAGACTGGACACCTTTTCTTTGCGAGTGGGCAACAGGCCAGAGAAAGTCTACTAAAGCATCAAGGACATTCAGCATTGCAAGGTGAGTTCTAAGTGAGGGGCCATGACTTGTGATTAACCCACTGTTAACCGTGTCTTATATTCCATGATGACTGGTTTTTGTTTTTCTTAAAACAATGTAATTCGTTTATTAATGTGAAAAAGTTACAAAGAGAGGGGAAGAGAGAGCGATTCCATTCATTGGGTCACTTTCCAGATGACCACACGAGCCATAAGCTTCACGTGATCCGTACATGTGGGTGACGGGACCACTCAGGCCGTCCGTCCTCTGCCGCTTTTCCCAGGCCATGAGCAAGGAGCTGAGCGTGCAGCAGCGGCTGGGACGCGAACCAAAGCCCATATGGAGAGCTGGCATTGCGGACACCGGCTTTACCCACGGCTCCACAATGCCAGCCCCAGAGGCCGGTTTCTGGATCATCCTCATCTTCCCTTGAATCTGAGGAGTTCAGGTATGGAGAATTAGCCTTAGAACATAGGGAGTTGGCATCAGAACCCGGGGCTGTGTGGCCTTCCTGCTAGCCACTCCCTCGCCCACTTTTCTCCAGCAAGTTCTATCTCTCCACTCTGCCTTGCTGCGCTCCGTGAAAACAATGCAATAGGATTCCCTTCCTGGGAAGGTCAGCCTCTTTTAGCCGGGGACGGATGAAGATCTGATCATGGCGTCTAGCAACTTTGAGTTCCAAACCTGTCAGCACTGGCTTTTCTGCTGCCTGGGGCTTCCCAGCGGGTCCCGGGTCAGCTTGATAAAGGCTGACTCAGCTGGGAATGCTGCTCTGTGGGGGGACCTCTCAGCCCAGTTCATCACACCCTCAAGGCAGCCGCCACCCTGGAGAGGCAAGCGTCGCCACCCAAGGGCGACAGGCCCTCGGGAGAGCAAGAGAAGCAGCAGCAGGGGCCTGGGACCTGCCCAGGGGTCTGAGAGTAGACCACCTAGGTAGGTCACAGCAGGAGGGGTCCAAAGGGCAGGAGCTGAGTGGTGAACATTTGAGCTGGACAGCCGAGCAACTTCAAGTGAGGGCTCCCTCAAATGTGAAGTTTGTAAGAGCAGGCGGAGTTCCTGAACCTGAAACTCATTAGAACAATGAGGTAAGGAGTGAGGGGCAGTAAGTACAGCCAGTGATAATCAAGCAGAGGCTCCTTAACAATTAAACAAAATAGGGCCTGGTGTGGTGGCCTAGCAGCTTAAGTCCTCACCTTGAACACCCCGGGGGGATCCCATATGGCCTCCAGTTCTAATCCCAGCAGCCCCGATTCCCATCCAGCTCCCTGCTTGTGGCCTGGGAAAGCAGTTGAGGACGGCCCAAAGCCTTGGGACCCTGCACCTGTGTGGGAGACCTGGAAAAGGCTCCTGGCTTCAAATCAGCCATGCTCCCACCATTATAACCAACAGATATAAGTACACTCTTCTCTCTCTCTCCACATAGCTCTGCCATTCAAATAAATAATGAAAAAATTTTTTGAAGAAATGAGGCTTCCAATTAACACAAATATATGAGCACAGACATCCAGTTTCTTAGCCCAAAAACAGATTCCCTTTATCCTACAAATATTGTAATTGTCGAATAATACGATGTCAAAGCGTCACACGTCTTTTATTTGACCACAATCCTTGTGTTCCTTTGTTCCTCTTAGGTACCTAAGCTCCAGGGGGGACTGAGTAGATACAAAAGCAAAATGCATTCAACTCTCACAATCCAAGTAGATTAAGCAGAGCAAAGGA